AGTGAGACAAAGCAGAGTAAGAGCAATTCACGTTTGTTCACGAGCTAACAGGTACAGCTCGGAAGAATGCCTTGAGCTTTTAGTGTCCCTTCGGCAAGCAGAGCGAGGTATGTTTTGTTTATTGTTTGATTTATTTGGAAAATGTTAGATGTTTTGTAAATGTTTGTTGTTTATTTTTCTATGTTGTTTGTTGTTTTCTCTAGTTTTACGGTGCTTTGGTGCTTTGGTGCTTTGGTGCTTTGGTGCTTTTGGTCTTTTGATGCTTCTGTGTATACAACAAAGAACTGAGACGATGATTTATGTGATGAACTTTATTGCATCCAAGTAAAACTTTTTAAATGCACCCGTCAAAAACTCTCTGCCTATTCTTTGAAAGCTGAAGGGCTGCTACACATAATCTATCACCGATCTAATCCACCCACAATAAATTGCCTTTAATGCTACCCTATCTGCTCCCCATTCACTACCTACTAGACATCTCATTATATTTATTATTATTTTTTACATTTGTTTATTATTTTCTGAATATGAACTGTCCATGTAATTCTTTCATCAAACCAAATTCCTAAAAACTTAAAATATTTTACTCTTTCTAGTTCTTGATTATATAATTTTACTTTAATATCATCTTCGATTTTTTTTCCTTGTAAAAACATTATTTTTGTTTTATCCACTGAAAATTTAAAACCCCATTTATGTGACCATTTCTCAACATTATTTATAGCCTCTTGTAATTTCCTAACAATGTATTCAATATTCCTTCCTGTTTTCCAAACTGCCCCATCATCTGCAAAGAGTGACATTCCCATCCCACTCTCTACCTCTTCAAACACGTCATTTATCATTATCGAAAATAATATTGGACTTATTATACTTCCCTGAGGTGTTCCATTTTCGACTGTGAATTTTCCTGAATAACTATTTCCTATTTTCACTGTTATTGTTCGATTTTCGAAAAATTCCTTAATCCATTTATACATTTATCCTTTTACACCTAACTTCCATTGTTTAATTAATAAACCTTCTCTCCACATCATATCGTAAGGTTTTTCTATATCAAAGAAAACAGCCACTACACTCTCCCTATTTATTTGTGCTTTTCTAATGTCATGTTCAAGGCACACAACTGGATCCATTGTATTTCTTCCCCTCCTAAACCCACTCTGGTATTGAGAAATACATTTGTTATTTTCTACATAATACGTTAATCTTTCATTCACCATTTTCTCCATTATTTTCCCAATATTAGATGTTAAAGCAATTGGTCTGTAACTTCCTGGATTTGTCCAATCTTTTCCTGGTTTATGTATAGGTATTATCATTGCATCTTTCCATGTTTGAGGTATTTTCCCTTTCTCCCATATTTTATTGTACATTCTTAATAACATTCTTTTTCCTTCTCTTCCTCTTCTTCTTCTTATAACTTTACGGCGGTTGGCATCCAGCGTTTTGGTGCATTACCGCCACCTTCAGCTCCGGAGTGTGGACCAGAGGTTAGGTTTACAGACTAATCATTCCCCCCACTTTCCTCTTTCCCACCCCTTCTCATACACACACATACATACTTACATACACACCTCTCCCCTACTCCTATGTTATAATAATAACCATAATACTCTCATACTACTATTTGAACTAATACCATAATAATAATAATAACCACCACATTGCTCTTACCCCTACTTTTACTTCCACTACTTGGTTATATGTAACTATATTCCCTTTACCTTATTATTTAAATGATTTATTTTATATCCTATCATAAACACCTGTTTCTCTCAGACACTTTATAAGTATTCTGGTCTGAATCCTGTCCTTTGTATTTAGTAAACCTTTTAATGTTATTTCCTGAATCCCTATTTCCCTTAGATCTTTTCTCATTTCCTCCCTCTGCTTTTCATACCTTTTGCATTTTAGTATCACACGTTCAACTGACTTTTCTTCACTACATCCCTCACATAATCCAGTTTCATGTTTTCGTATCAATTTAAGTGTTTTATTTAATAAACAATGACCCAGTCTTAATCTTATCACTATTTCTTCTCGCCTAAAACCTCTACTGACTCTTTTGTGTTTAACAGCCTGTTGAATTTTACACAAATGCCTTCCTTTCTATTCTCTGTCCCACTTCTCTTGCCACTTTTGATTTATTCTTACCCATATTAGACTTTTCACTTCGGCTTTACTAACCCTTATTTGCATTTCTACATTTTCTTTTGTTAATGCCCTTTTTGCTAATTTATCAGCCATTTCATTTCCCTTTATCCCTACATGACCTGGAACCCATATAAATCTTACCTCCTTTCCCTGACTTGTTATTTTAGTTATACACTGGAGTACTTCATACAAGATATCTTGTCTACTTGAAGAAAATGATCTTAGACTTTAAAGAGCTGATGCTGAGTCTGAACATACCAATATTTTGTCCTGCCCTGTCAATTGTACCCATCTTAATGCTATTAGCATGGCTAGCATCTCCACTGTGTACACCCCCACATTATCAGATGTCCTTCTATTTATTTCAATTTCTTTTGCTGGTATAATAACCCCCAATCCAGACACTCCAGTTTCTGGGTTCTTTGCTCCGTCTGTAAAAATCTGTGTGTAATCTTTGTATTTTTCTTCGATCCTTTGATTAAACTTTTTTTTTCCCGATTTATGCTTTCTCTTGCCTCATTCTTTTTCTCTAAAATAAACCAGTCTACCTCTGGCCTAACTAGCCTCCATGGAGCAATTTCTGGATAAATGACAGTAGAACTTATTCTCATATCAAACACTCTTAATTCTTTTGCCACCATGCTCCACACCGACCAAAATTCTCCTTGTGACTTCTCCCATTTTCCCAACTATCCTGTAATACTGCTTTAGTGATATGTGTATTTGTATGCCCTTGTAAACCTACCCAATAATTAGCCATCAACTGCTTCCTTCTTAATTCCAGTGGCAATTCTCCCATTTCCACTTGGATAGCTGACACTGGTGTTGTCTTAAAAGCTCCACTACATATTCTCAGTGTCTGCGCCTAAATTACTTCTAATTTATTCAAGTTTGACTTGGCTGCTGAACCATACACTACACTACCATAATCTAAAACTGACCTTATTAAAGCTACATAAATTCTATACAGTGATTGTGTGCTTGCACCCCAATCCCTTCCTCTCAAACATCTCATTACATTAATTACTTTTTTGCATTTTCCCTCCATTTTATGAATGTGGTCTACAAATGTTAAACGAGAGTCTAACTTAATTCCAAGAAATTTAAAATTCCCAACCCTCTCTACATCTTTTCCATACATCTGTATCTTAAGCTGCTCTGCAATTCTTCTCCTAGTGAAGAAAACCGACTGAGTTTTTTCAACAGAAGACTTAAACACCCAATCATATCCCCACTCTACCACCCTATTAGTTGCTTCCTGTAACCTCTTAATTATATGTTCCATATTCTTTCCTCTCTTCCACAAAGCGCCATCATCCGCAAATAGAGACCTACATATATCTTCTGGTACCTTTGCAAACACATCATTGATCATTATAATAAACAGTAATGAACTTATCACACTCCCTTGAGGCGTGCCATTTTCTGCTTTGTGTACATTTGACATATCCGTCCCTACTCTAACCTGAATCTTCCTTCTAGAAAGGAAATCTTTTACCCAGTTAAATAACTTCCCTCCAATTCCCAACTCATTTAGTTTAATCAATAGCCCCTCCTTCCACATCATATCATATGCTTTTTCTATATCAAAAAATACTGCTATTACATTCTCTTTATTTACTTGAGCCTTCCCTATTTCTGTTTCTAGTCTAATAACTGAATCAATTGTACTCCTTCCCTTCCTAAATCCACTTTGACATTTATCCAATAATCCTCGTATTTCCAGGTCATGCGTCAACCTTTCTGTGATCATTCTCTCCATGATTTTACAAAGATTTGATGTAAGTGCTATTGGTCTATAACTTGTTGGTTTTGTTGGATCTTGACCGGGTTTCCTTATTGGAATCTGTGGTGGGGAAGGCGTGATCGAACACCCCGAAAGGGGGGAGAGCAAGCGGAGACACCGGCGGCTGGTCAGTGGTCTAATCATGAATAATTATTAACACCTGTATTTTCTAGTGATTGGGCCGGAGAGACAACTTCATAAGGGGAGGAGAAGGAGAAGCCGGGAGAGAGCCTGTCCACTTGCCGACGCGACACGCACATACACACACAGCATTATAAATAAAAGTTTGCGCTACCTGATATCGCCGACCCTGCCTTCTTCTTCCCACAAAACGAACATTATTACAGAATCACTATTGCCTCTTTCCAGATTTTGGGTAGCTTTCCATCCTTCCATATCTTATTATATATCTCTAAGAGCTTCAACATTGAACTTTCTTCCAACTTCTTTATCATTAAATAACATATTTGATCTTTTCCTGGGGATGTAGGTTTTGCTTTATTAATTGCTCTTACCATCTCTGCCAATGTAAACGGATCATTTAATTCATTTCCTGTTTCTTCCTTCCTGTTAATCTTATGAAAATGCTGATTATTTGTTACTGTTCTCCTCCTCCCTTCCTCTGATAAATTTTCTGAACTACCTTAACAAATGCTTCTGCTATAATCTCTGCTTTCTCCTTATTTGACGTTGCTATTTTTCCTTCATTTACTATCACTGGGTATTCCCACTGCCTTCTGTCTCCTCCCATCCTTTTTATCATTCCCCATACTTCTCCTATTGGTGTAGTTCTTCCTATGTACTCACAAAACTCAGCCATCTTAATTGTAGATAGAGGTAAAGTTGGTTTTATATTTGCACATTCGGTCATTTAGAAGTTTCTATTGTTTACCATTTTACTTTGAGTTATTCGATCAGAATTACCATGCAAGTATAACTTGAAAACAAAATTAACACTGTTTATTTGACTGTGAAAAATGTTGTACTTTGATAGTCATTGGCTGCAAATATGATTTCACTATTTAGGGTTTGCAAATAATACTTTTATAAAATTTTATTATTAAGTCTGAATGTGCAAATATAAAACCAACTTTACCTCTGTCCAAGCAAATGAGAACACTGGGTTACATCCAAATGTAACACTAGCCAAGTTCAATTGCCATGTGTGTTCTTGCAGCAATATAGTCAGAAATATTTTAGTAACATGCATAACCACCTAAAAAACAGTGATACAGTGCCTTGTATGAAAGCTATCTTTACTATAATCTTGTGTCTTAAATCTACAGATTGCTGCTGAATTCAGTTGAATCACTTCTGTCCCACTAATTCAAACATGTCAAAACTGGAGTTACTCCAGCAAGCTGGCCAGCATCTCCCGTAGATAAGAAGGAATTGCACAGAGGTAAAGTTGGCTTTATATTCGCACATTCGGACTTTCCCCTTAATAATATAATTTCATAAAAGTATTATTTGCAAACTCTAAATAGCAAAATCATATTAGCAGTAAATTTCTATCAAAGTACAAAATTGTTCACAGTCAAATAAATAGTGCTAGTGTTGTTTTCAAGTCATACTCCCATGCTAATTCTGTTCGAATATTCAACGTAACATGGTAAACAATATAGAGACTTCTAAATGAACAAATGTGCGAATATAAAACCAACTTTACCCCTATAGGAATTGCAGATAGAGATAACATTGGTTTTATATTCGCACATTCGATCATTTAGCAGTCTCTATATTGTTTACCATGTTACGTTGAATATTCGATCAGAATTATCATGCATGTATGACTACTAAACAACATTAACACAGGTCTAATTTAATCTGAACAATGTTGTACTTTGATAGTCATTTGCTGCTAATATAATTTCCCTATTTAGAATTTGCAAAGAATACTTTTCCTGAAATTCTGCTTAATAATATAATGTCTTTATATCCAAGTTTAAAACCAACTTTATCTTTATGAATTGCAGGGCATAATATTTGGAAAGTGATGGCTACCATTGATGAGGTTTGTTAACTGTATTTTATGATGCTTGTAAATAATTTCCACTTTAGTATGGTGTTTTTTCATTGTTTATACTTAATGTCTCTTCTACAGAATGATGGAGAGCTTGCATTCTCGGAGCATTTTCTGTGTATCTTAATGAAGATTATGAAAACCTCATGAAGGAGTATACTGTAAGTGTTTTCCAAGCACTAAATGTTTAAAATGCCACCACATAAATTCACATAATATAATCAAGGAATATCAATACACAAAGTATATTTAACTTGGGGTTATCAAAAGTACAGACTAACCCTAACAAACACAGTAAAGTTGTTTTGTAAGTCACTGCAGGTGCGTTATGTAAAAGATTGAGGAATGGACAGTTGATACAAAATTCACAATCTTTATTTTTGATGGAATTAAACTGACTTAACAGTGGTACTGTTTTTGTGTTTTATAGGACACAGGCTTTGAAAACTCTGAGAGAGAGAGAGAGAGAGACATGGCCAATACTCTCATTTATAATCTACATCATCAGACCTGAAGGTGCAGAAGCCTGTGACCCACCATCAGGTGTTGGACTGATTGTTGAGGGAGTGAAAGTGCTTCAGAACCTTGGCGATGTCACCAAGGCGTGTGCTCTTCTTTTGGGAGTAATATACAGCTTGAGTCTCAGTTATCCTTCAGACCTGAAATACACCTGAGTTTTTCCACAAAGTGTTGCTGGGACTTGAAGAACTCAAGAGCAAACTAGGCTGAATCAGTATATCATTCTGGACAAATGAAAGAAATAGAGGAAGAAGCTTTTTTGTGACATTTAAATTGTTTTATGGTTTTAAAATTAATGTGATGTTATCTTTGTTGACGGCACCAAAGTTTTAAATGAAGTTCTGCAACTTTAAATGGCTAAATGGTTTGGTTATTTACAAAGATTAGAGGTCAGTTTTAATCTTTTCTTTACTAATGGCTCGAACGATTTCAGATATCCAAAATTGAACCCTGTAGTAGTTTGTGTCATGCTGCCTGCCTTAAACTTTTTGCTTTTCTTTTTCCAAGTAAAATGTATTATTTGCAGTTGCATATAGTAAAATAACATTTTGGTCAATAATAAACTTTTTTTTTTTTTCGTGTTTTTATCTGTCTTTTTGAAACTAAATGTTATTTTGGTGGGGGTTGTCATAAAGAGGCCAGTTGTATACTTTAACAGTCGCTTAAACATTTTAAAATATCAGCAATGTTGCATTTCATGACAGTATTGAAATAAAATGTCCTTACACATTTTCTTTTGTAAATTCTTATTACAATATTTGAAGGAAGTAGCACATTGTAAGAATGTTCACTATTGACCAAAGTGTTTTTTTTAAAAAAAATCCTCTTCAAACTGCTATTTCAACTGTTTGTGGATGTTTACAAAAATCGAGGCCAGTTTGAATGTTACTCTAACTATTCTTTGTAAAGATCAGAAATATAGTTTAGCAGTATTTTGACATTCCATGTATTTAATTTTTCAAATTAAGGTTATTTCAAATTCTTAAAGCCAGTTACACTTTGAAAGACCTTGTAAATGTTTATTGTAAATCCTTTGTTTTTGTGTATTTGTTTCAAAGGACCTGTGAAATTGAAATTGTTTTATTAATTTTAGGAGTTGTATGTTGCAAAACCTTGCAAAAAAATACATTCATTTTGTTTCTAAAAATGTTTGATTATTTAGGTTTTACACTTGTAGAGCACATAAGAAAAGAAAGTGTTCAAGTTGTTGTAAAAAAAAAATAAATGAGTGAAAAGAAGAGAAGAGAGAACCCAGTCCAGGAGACTCGAAACAAGCAGAATTCCTTTATTGAGACGTGTTGGTTAATCTGCAGTCATACAGCGTCTTTAAGATGTCCAATGTGTCTGCAAGAGACTACTAGAGGTCCGCAGTCTGCAAGTTCTTTCACAAGTCTCTCACAAGTCTCACACAAGTCTGATTTAAGACAAAGATTTCATGTCTATATTGTGTTCTTAGGAGGAGGGGATTTGGCTAAACAAAGCATGCAAATTAATAGTTGTGGTCGGCAGGGTAAACTACTCTTTCAGGCATTGATCTCATCATGTTCTGGAGACAGAAACCGCCTGACCATTTGATCGAAAAGAGAAAACAATAGACACCCCATGCTGTGAAACTGACAATTTGCATTACTTTGGCTTAGCCTGTAATCAGAAAGACAAAAGGTTAAATGTCCCTCCTAGCTGGGATGTTGATGAAATTATATAATTAAAAACCAGAGAATATAACTTTTCAGTTATACGTAGATTATTGTTCATTTGGAATTAGTTAATAGAAATGTATATTTCCACACCTTACATATTGAAAGTTCGTAATTTTTACATAACATTACTAAGTAAAATATACATATAACTAAAATGTAATAATGACACATCTAAATTGGGTTGTAGGTACTAAGGAATATTTTGTAAACTTTACCTGAATTTCTTTAGTTTATTCAACTATATTGTTACTTGTAGAAACTACTCAACACAGTTACGTGGAACCACTTGACACCCTTTTTTTATGTAAGTCCAACAAATAATTTTTTTGAGTGTACCAAGCATAATGTTAAGTCTGCAGCATGAAACAAGGTAAGACTCGAAGCAAAGTGAAGATGGCATGCAGGTGTAGAAAGTAGCTCTAATCATAGAGCTAGCCTATAGAATGCTTTATAAATTAAAATCAGAGTCTAAAAATCAATATGTGACCTAACCAGTAGCAAATGAAGCTGCTGGAGAACAGGTGTGATGTGATGTAGAGAGGATGTATAAGTCAGAGCATGTGCTGCAGAATTTTGAATATACTGTACCCTTATAAGTAGGGCCAGACCAAATCTGCGGACATTTTTTGCAACATCTGCAAAGATTTGACCCACCTGATTTTCTGCGGATTTCTGCAGAATTATTTTGGGAGTATCAGGACTAAAAACTTAATATATTAAATAAAATATAGTTGCTTTTTAACATTTATTTAATGTTTACAATGCCAATTCATCTAGATCCACTTATTTGGTAATTAAAGCAAGTCTATTATATAATATCTACTAAAAGGCAGAAAATATTAATTTACAAACTGTATTGTAAACGAATCATATTAATATTTTCATATTAGTCAATAATATTACTGAAATGAATTTAATAACTGAATAAATATAAATTTACACACATTTACACAAGTAAATACTTGGTCACAATGATGGGCTAAAATCTGCGTATTTCTGTACGCGCAGATTCTGTGTGGGCCTACTTTTAAGAGAATTTGCAGGTCAACCCCTAAAGAGCGAATGTTGCCTTTGTGGTTATGAAGGCATAGACAAGCCTCTCAGCTTCATTATTTTTACACTACTAGTATATTCAACTTAGTTTATACTTATGATAACTGAATTCATAGTTTAGTCAAAGTATACATTTATAGTGTATAGTTTTTAAACTTTACTTATAAGATTTACTTTCCCCCACTTGGAAAGGCATTGTCAAGCTTACAGTAGCTAAAGACTGAAGTGTGTAAAGTTATCGGTGAAAACGGGAGATGGAAGTGTCCCAGTTTGGGAGATTTTTTTTCCAGCATGAAATAATTTCCTTAATATTCCTTGGCACTGGGCACATTAAACAAATGTTTAATATGTTAAATATAATATAAAAGAACACTGGACAACAAATAAACTCACTTTTATGAACACTAGAGTTAGGCCCACTTCTCCTACTACTTCTACCTGCCTAACTATAAAGAAATAACCTGTAAAAAATATTTACACAAAAGTAAGAGTGTGACATCTAACAACTAATGCTTCTCACTATGTATATACATAGTACAATATTTACAAAATTTACAAACGAACAAACCACAATTGAAATACAGTAACAAGGCAGGGAAGAACACGGATGAGTAAACAACAAACAAAAGTTAAAATTTACACACCTAACAGTTAAACACAATTAAATATACATAGCAAATTAATTACATAGCACCTTGAATACATTGAATAATGCGTGACTGGCCGCAAGCAATCATAAGCATGTGATCCTTTTGAAATTAGTTTATATATAAACTTCACTTAAAACATAAAGAAATTTCAGTGCTGTGCATTAAAGGCGATTTAAACAACTGGGTCTTAAGCTTGGCTATAAAAAGTGGCAGGTCAGTGATTTTATGAATCTCAGCAGGAAGGGTATTCCAGAGTTTAGGACCTACCACTGCAAAAGAGCGATCACACCACTGCTTGTATCTTGACCAAGAGACTTCAAGCAGAAGTTGGAAAAGAGACGAAAAGAGAGGGAGAGAGAGACAAACACATACCTGGTTTCCCCCACAGTCCAAAGAAATGTGTTGTAGGGTGAACTGGGTAAGCTTAATTGTCTGAAGTGTATGTGTATATGCCCTGGTTCTCCAGATTGGGGGTTGAGATTTGGGCTAATAACCCACCTCATAAAAACTAGATGTTACGAAACACCAATATGGTGCAGCTAAATATCAACTTCCGTACATATGGCCCAGGAAGTAAGTAATGATGTGACAGTGTCACTAAACACTGTGACTGTTAATTTTTTAAGGGCATCAACTCCATCTCAACCACTACATTTTCTTTTCTCTCTGTAAGAAAACAAAGAAACACAATTAAAAAGACATGTCATAGCTGTATGCTATATTTAGTGTTAATGTGCAAGAGATAAGGATTAAAGTCAAGCATTCTATCACATCAATAGCATTCATGTACTTTTTGCAATATTTCATCCGGAATGTTTTGCATAAAACTATAGCGCACAGTTCTGTACCCCTAAATGGATATTATGAATGTATAATAATATTGAGAATATATCCTATCAGACCGTCCCTCTGCAAAATTAAGATATAATACAGTGGACTCCTACTCATGACGACCAAACTAGCCCATACTTAATTTTTACTGGGTAAATGATGGTTCATGAAGGCTACAGTGAGCTTGAGTCAGATTTCATTATCATGGCTACAGTACAGTGTACTCTCTCATGAGAAAACTTAAATATGTTATGTATTAGTAAAAAAAGTGACTATTTAAATGTGTTCAAAAAGGTATTATTTTTTAAACGTGTGCCCCAAAATCCCACTCTAACCTACATAGCACTGGAGGACGAGCAAATTATACTAAAATGTGAATGAAGCACCTCTCATATGAACTTTCAATTGTTTTTGCACTACTTGATTTGTCCAGAAGGTGCCAGCAATCAAATGCAATGAACCAATCGTGATAAAGTAGTTTAAACAGAGTGAAAACAAGTGTAAATGAGTGAATATAAAATGTTAGCACTCAAAACATTTCCAGAGAATATAATGCCACTATAATGAGGAATCTTTATAGTGTTTCTTTAGCGTGATCGAATCTTCAACTTCCCCTGATATGGTCTTGTCTTTAATTTTGTCCCAATTAACAAAAAACAAAGGATAAAAATGGAAATGTTATAACAGGTGGTCACAACATGGAAACATCAAAACTAAAAATCTGTTTGGAAATGGTGTGGTTTCATTCATTGGATCACACGTAGACGTCAACTTTAGTTTTGGTGTTTCTCTTGTTAAAAGTGGACAATCTTATTATATTTTAGACAATGCACTAGGGCTGTACAATTAATCAAAGGCAACTTGAATGCTCATTTTGACAGTGAAGCTGGCTTTGTAATCACAAGTAGCTCAGCAAGCATTTTTTTGTTTTTAAAAGAAGTCTAATAGACATCTAATAGACATCTTAACATAAATGGCTTGGCTAAAGCAAGGGTAAATTTGGGCTGTCAATCAACTAGTCATTAAATAATATAACTAGACAGGCTTCATATCATTCATTTGTGTGTATTTAGACATCTCAAGTCTCCCGGAAGTTCCAGGAGATTATTAGATTAGATTATTAATTACGTTGAATCAATAAAAGCAGTTTATTTAATGGTGGGCATAGCAATCACATTATTTTTTTTTGTATTATTACCCCAAGCTTCAAATTTGACGTTTTGAAGGGATTTAGTGAAGTGGTAAGTGTTCCTAACTAGCACGCAAAAACAATGGGTTCGAATCCAGGCAGCTAGAGATGCTAGTTTTTAAACGCTCTGTTCTTGTAGCGTGTTTTGTTTTAACATTGGTCTGATATCAGAATTAACACTTTGTAAATATTTATGCCTTGTTTGGTCATATTTTTTTCTACATTATTAAAATAACCTTGTTTAAAACTATTGATTCTTTAGCGAAATAGTTGACTCAAAGTCAAATAAATGAATCGAGTTGGCTTTGGATCTCTTGTATATATATATATCGTATACACACACACACACACACACACACACACACACACACACACACACACACACACACACACACACACACACACACACACACACACACACACACACACACTAAAATGTATATATACTATATATGCACATTAATGTATATACTATAGTGCTCAGCAGCATAAATGAGTACACCCCCCTTTGAAATACAATATTTTTACCCATTAAAAAAAATTAAATAAATAAAATAAAATAAAAAACACATCAGACTGACTGCTTATTTCTTTTCCCACATATGTAATCCAAAAAGCACATCACATGTAAAAGATTTGAATGTAAATTGTAATGTGAATATAAATGTATCATATAAATGTTTTCCTCAAAAATATCTACTTAAAATATGGCACAAATTATCTACCCAATACATTTAAAAAAGCATTGGTTCATAGATTTTAAAAGTATAATATGTTGTCATGATAACAGTGAAAACCTAATTTTAGTTTATTTGCAGAAATAGCAAAGTAAATAATGAGCTGGTAAAATTATTGCCAATAATGCTGAGAATATGCGAAAGCTAAAAGCACACATTTCTCAAAAAACAGAAAGAGTGAAAAAAAAATGTTTTAGACTTTCTCTTGCTTGATCAACTGTAATACTTACCCACATGTTCCTGTAGTTCAGAGATCTTGCGGCGGTGATAAAGAAAACCCAATCCAGCTACAACTGCAAACACCAACAGCAGAGCAGTAATAGCTCCAGCAAAAGCAGCTAGAGACACACATGAACCTGAAATGATAACTACAAACATCAGCATTAATCAACCTAATGAAGACCTTATACTGTAATGATAAAGCCAATATGAACAATTTGATCTACAACAAACTGGTTCTGGTGTGAACATGCCAACAGGAAAAGAGCACATATATGCAGAAAATGGCAGAATAAAAACAAAAGAGAAGCCAAAGTTATAAAGAATTATTTTATCCACACTAATTAAGTAAATGTAAATGTATTATAACATATTATAATATCTGATATCGGTCATCAGTGAATATTTTGTATTTGTATTGTCTAATATATAATATATGGTATCAAATGTGGAAATCAACTATAAAGCACACATTTAAGGTGTTTTAGCACACTTTGAGCATTTCATTTTAATGCAACTTCACATTTACTATTACTTTTATTAGTTATTACTCCTCTAGGGTTGAAATATATATTGTACATGTTGATAACCCCATCAATGAACAATTGTCATGACTGAATAATAAAACAATTTGGAACACTGTGGCTATTTATTTATTTGACAGACTTTCTTTAATGGATAATAGTGAACGAAAATACTGCAAAAAACAGTTGCCTGTCAGGTCCTGTTAAATTTATTAGGTCATGTTCTTGACCTAATTTAGAACAATATGTTTGTATTATTGTTTTATAATGCTAATGGCTGAACTATCAACTGAAAAAGACATGGATTCAGGAGAGCCAACATTTTGTAAAAAACAAAACAAAAAAACACAAACACACACGCACACGCACATGCACACACGCGCACACACACACACACACACGCACACACACACGCACGCACGCACACACACACACACAGGGCTCTATTTTAAAGATCTAAGCACATGGTGTAAAGCTAAGTGATAAATTAAACCAAAGTAAGTTATAGACTTTTCATTATGATCCGAAAGAATTATACCAACTTGTGTAAAATGGGCATCTAAGGTCACAGTTAAGAAATTTGATAACTTGTCTTCATACTCATGTTTGAATGTAGGAGAATAAAAAAAAGACAATTTGAGAATCTTGATAAACATGGACCCTGGTCACCTCAGTTATTTACAGATGGCTGATAAACTATCAAGACTTTAAAACCCTTGAGTTACTCACCAGTGAAATTAACAGAAATTTTTTTGTATGTTGTCCGTTTGTTGCTGCTGATCCTCACTGTATAATATCCAGCATCTGTGTCTTTCGTGTTCTTGATGGTCAGAGACCCAGTCTGGTCATTCAGCTTCAGTCTGTCTTTGTATCTTTCATCAGTATTATAATATGGTGGACTCTTGGTTTCTTTATCTTCTTTAGCCAGGAGTTTTCCTTCATGTCCAAACCTCCACACAATCAGTTCATCCCCGTGAAATTCAGTAACATCAGTCTCTAGAACAAGTGGTTTTCCCTCTGTCATATTCAAGCTCTTCATTTCAGCTTTATGAGCTTCATTAGTAGATGGAACTTCTGCAAGAGAAACATTCACAGAGGTTAAACATACTGAATAGTACTGGTATATGAACTGCACTACACTATGATGCTTTATTGTTAATTTTAAACTTGTGTTAATGGCATAAGACACATGCAGATTAATAAAAAGGTTACATTTTTACATGTACAATATCCAGTCTGTCACTTTGCCAAATTTCTTATTTTTATTTATGTGTGCATGTATACACGCAACTATGTATATTAATATTTAATGCCATGTCAGAATCATTTAAACAATGCATCTATAACAGATACAATAAAACCAGCAAAATAGTTATATTAAACAAGATTTTGACCTTAACAAATGTAAAAAGTCTAAAGCATTTTGTGGGGAAATTATAATAAGTATTACTTTAAATGAGTTTCCTTCATAAAACTGCTTACTACATAGATTAAGCAGGACAGTCCAACACAATTTGCTTAATAGAAAGGGGAATATCGCAAAGTATACATTGAGTAGTGTTGGAAATTTGAGAACCCAGTCCAGGAGGTTTGTCCTCTGTATTACATGTATTAGGAGGGGGCAGAGTTTATAGGTTGACACAGAGCATGTAAATGAGATAGATAGGTTAAAGAACCTGCCCAGCCAACAATGAACACTGAATGGATTCACAAAGATCAAGGCACAGTCGTCGAGACCCTGCCCGTAATCAGGAAGTGCATAAAGACAATAAGTTAAATGTCTCCAACACTTGGCCTGCTATAGTTTTTAATGAAATGAGGTAACTGAAAACCAAAGAATATAACTTTCTAGCTATATAACTAGATTATATAAATGTATATGTCAACAGTAGGTTCTTCAGCTTTTCAGTAAAAATGCACGAGTCACTCTTGTGTGACCAATAAGACATCTGCAAACACCATTTGATAAAATCTAGCTTTAAAGGAGATAGAAAAAATTGTTGGAAATTTCCAGAGGGATTCCGTGTGGTTTATTATTTGTGCATGTATTGTCCATATAACACTTTTCACTGCATTATTGCAGATTTAAAAGACTAATTGCACTTCTTCAACCTACAAAACTAAAAATTATTTATTAGGCAGTTTGGAAGTATTATAATTAATCGGTGGAATGAAAGTAAACAAAATAACTGCTCATCTTGTCTGTGTGTGTATGTGTGTTTCTCTCTAGTACTGCTGTGTAAAAGCAGTTTCAGTCTCAGTCACGTTATTATTCTAGAATAGATGAACGTGTGACACCAGTGATGATGAAATCAAACCACTGCCTGATTGTGATTTTGTGAGAATAACACTGCAAGACTGAATATAACTAACATTAACTGATTTTTAGGTTAATTTACTGTAAATTAATAATTACTCACCATTTACTGTAACAGTAAAACTTGCATGATTGATCCCATTATCGTGGTAAATCTCAAGTGTGTAAAGCCCAGAGTGTTTGGTTCTCATGTTGTTGATAGTCAGAGATCCAGTCTGACCATTTTTCTCCAATCTGCCTTGCAGTATCTCCACATTCCGAATATTTTCAGCAGTGTTGGATCCCTTTTTTTGAAACAGCCACTTTATCTGATTTATTTCTTGTATTTGAGTAATATCAGGATTTAAGGTGACAGAATCTCCCTCCATCACTGACTTCACTTTAACTTCATCAGCACTAAACACACCTGCAGAACAAACAGAAATGGTTAATCAGATATTACACTCCACTGCTGGTTATGTTAATAAAAAAAATAACTGATGTAATGTGACAATAGTGTGATTTAGTGTTAAGTGATGTACAAAATCTTCTGATCGCCTTATCGTCCGCATATTGCCATATCACCAAAACATGATACTATCATGTGGGGTCACGGCAGTGTTATGTTTAGTGTTATTTATTAATTTCTAAATGTATTTAATAATATTTCAACTTTTTTTCTACTCATGTACTTCATTTGCATTATGTTGTATCTTGGAAGAGGCGAGGCAGTGGAGCAGTAGGTAGTGCTGTCGCCTCACAGCAAGAAGGTCGCTGGGTCACTGACTCAGTTGGCGTTTCTGTGTGGAGTTTGCATGTTCTTCCTGCCTTTGCGTGGGTTTCCTCCGGGTGCTCCGGTTTCCCCCACAGTCCAAACACATGCGGTACAGGTGAATTGGGTAGGCTAAATTGTCCGTAGTGTGTTTGTGTATGTGTGTGTGGATGTTTCCCAGTGATGGGGTGTGGCTGGAAGGGCATCCGCTGCGTAAAAACTTGCTGGATAAGTTGGCGGTTCATTCTGCTGTGGAGATCCGGATTAATAAAGGGACTAAGCCGACAAGAAATTGAATGAATGTATCTTAGAAATTAACTAAAATCTATGCAAATCACTGCACTCTTCCGTCTAAATTAGGTGCTGAGAATTCAGTTATTTCAAACAATACAAGATTTGAGGTGACTACAGGAGAGGGCTGTCATTCACAAGTCAGAAAAATTGACAAACAGTTGAGGTCAGAATTATTAGCCCTCCTCAATTTTTTGCCCACATGTACAGTGCATTTTCCCCCAATTTCTATTTAATAGACAGAAGATTTTTCAACACATTTCTAATCATAATCGTTTTAATAACTCATTCCTAATATTTTACTAGATATTTTTCAAGACAATTTTATTTATTTATTTATTTATTTTTTATTCTTTTTTAATTATTATTATTTATTTTTTTTAGTGCCAGGTCAGCAACCAAGGCTATCTTCATGGCAGGAATCTTTCAACAATAAATATACAATTTAAAAATCAACAAACAAAATAAATCAAATTAAATAAGATTTTTTGTGTTAATACATGATAAAAATTCAAAAATCTTTTCTGGTTTCACTTTGTCAAAAATGTCCTTAAAAGAGTTCATTTCATAAAAAGTGCTTCTGGAATCAGTAAAAGCAGGACAGTCCAGTAAAATATGTTTTACAGTAAGAGGAGTTTTGCAGCACAAACACTGAGTAGGGTTTTCACCTTGGAGCAAAAAACCATGTGTTATTCTCGTATGCCCAATACGACATCTGGTAAAAACTACTTGATCAAATCGATTCTTAAAATGTCTTAAAATTCTGTGTGAAACTTCAGGTTGGATTTCATGTAATTTATTGTTTTCTAATGCATCCCATTCCTTTTGCCACTTGTTTAAAATGTAAGCGTTGATAAAAGGTTTAATCTCTGACGGAGGAATTTGGCATTTGTTCACTACTTGCTTCAAAGCAAGACAATTTTATACTGCTTACAGTGATATTTAACCCCTTCAGACCCTGCATCCATTACAATGGACATCACATGACATCACGTTTTTCTGAAATATGGCACATAATTCAGGTCTAAAGGGGTTAAAGGCTTAACTAGGTTAATTAGGCAAGTTAGGGTAATTAGTAAAGTCAAATCAATAATTCGTAAATGCTTTTTACAAGTCGCAATCAAAAATGATGATCAGTGGTGCATTGGAGGGTAGCCCATACGCAGGCAACACGTGAGAACGGGTTAAAGCAGGTGTGGTACTTATTTATCAGGCGGCTTTGAGTATACCCACTTATAAATCCCCTCTGATGCTCATCATTCAGTAGTGTCCTGCAATAGACCAAATCATGATAGTCCACCACATCCAGTCATATGTGAAAAAATGTCACAGTGATGATGATGCAGTCAATACCGGGGTGCCGGCTTGCGTTGAATATATTCGATAATTGCCTCTGAAGCACTTGCGCTTACTCTGTCTCCCACACCCCAGTAATTTGAATCAGTATATAATAAGGAAAACAATACATAAACAATACAATAAATAAAAAGAAGCAGGCTTTAAGATAAGATTATTCTCAAACCAGTGAACCCCTGTAAACTTTTCAGTCCAAGGATCCAATAAATGAATGCATTCAAATAGTAGACCTAAAATCAAATCATTTATTAGATAATTAATACTATTTTATTGCAACGCCAAAGTAGGCCTGTCTTATTATTATTATTTTGTTATTTGTTGTTGTTGCTGTAATTATTGTAGGCTACATATTTAAATTTTCTATTATTTGATTGATTTGAATAGGCTATATCTATTAGAGCTGTGAACCTTTTCTAGTCACACGGTTCGGTTCGGTTACGATTATCATGCCATCGATTCGGTTCAATTCGATATTTCGGTGCATCACGGTGCATTGACGATGCTTTCCATACACAGTTTTATATTTTCTTCAAAGCAGCAGTTCTTGTATTAAAATGTATGAATATATTTATATTTATATATTATTTGTAATACAATTTTGTCGTTTAATACAAACAGTCAGATAAAAAAACTGTAACTTTAAACAAAACGAGCATTAAGCAAATAATATAAACAAATATAAACATCCAGCTCAATTTCTAATCCTTGTCTAGTTCTCTTACACCTCTTTGATTGGTCACACCCTCAACAAAAACGGTTGCTATTGGCTCTTGCGCGCTGCGCTCTTCAGATAAGTGACACTGATAAGCGGTTTTGCCAAATTTTTATGTATTTTAGGTAGAATATATATTACCGGTGTGATTGGATAATAGAGGTTATTCTACAAAATGGATTAAGGAAGATGCGGCCCGTTTCGAAAATATGGATCAAAAAGAAGCCTTGGCTCGAAAAACACTAAAACCTACTAACACACGGATTTCTTTTATTATTCAATATTCGGCTTTAAGTAATGAGTTTGCAAATATAGTACGAAGACATTGGCATATATTAAATTCAGACCCTGTTATGAGACACTGTTGTAAAGATCCTCCACGAATTGTTTTTAAACGAGCTCCTAATGTGCGACAAATGATAGTGAGAGCAGATCAAGGTTCCGATCGGTCGGATAATCCTTTCTCAGTCCCTGAAGGTAACTATAGATGTGGTCAGTGTAATTTTACAACCAAATGTCAGTTTTTTAGTCAACCACATTCAGGTAAGCAATTAAAGATTAAAGGTGTGATTTCATGTAACACAAAAAATGTGATCTATATGATTAAATGTCCTTGTGGTTTAGCCTATATAGGTAAAACAAGACGGTGTTTAAAAACACGAATTGCTGAACACAGAAGTAATATACGATTAAATGATCAACGAAATCCTATCGCCGTTCATTTTAATGCATTGAAACATAACCTTGCGACGTTGCGATATATTGGCATTAAACAAGTGAAGGTGCCAAGAAGGAGTGGCGATGTTGACTGACCTTTATTACAGAGGGAATCGTTTTACATTTACACACTAAACACTTTATCCCCGAGAGGTTTGAATTTGGATTTTGATTTAAAATCCTTTTTGTAAGTGTATTTGCATTCTATATTGTTGTATACTTTTCCCAGAGATGGGTTGTAAAAAAATTTTTTGAGAGCTAAAGTGGCAGTGTGCCGATTTACTTTGAATCTTTTGCTACTAATATTATAATTAAAAATTAATTTCAGTATCATTTCTCCAGTCTTCAGGGTTGATCTTTCCTACAAATTTATTGTATTTAAAACGTTAATATATATATATATATATATATATATATATATATATATATATATATATATATATATATATATATATATATATATATATAATTTTTATTTTATTATTCTTTTATAAATAAGTCATAGTTTATTTTATATGTAACGATAAGGCTCAAAGTTTACATCTTTTAATATATACAAACTTATTGCTGTATGGGTAACACTTCACTGTAAGGTTGCATGTATTAGTTAATGTATTTACTAATATGAACAAACAATGAACAATACGTTTATTACAGCATTTATTCATCTTTGCTGACGTTAGTAAATAGTAATAAAGTTAATTAACCATGTTAACTCACTGTGCCTTAACTAATGTAAACAAGCACGATTTGGGTTTTAACAATGCACTATGAATGCTGAACTATGAATAATTTATGATGGACCAATATTGTTCATAATTTTATATAAACCAATAACCAATAAAACTTCACTGTAAAGTGTGACAGTTGTATTGTTATATCTGTTATCTTTGTATGTAGTTATAAAATAGTAACTTAGTTATTGCTACCGTGACACTGACATTGATTGGTCAGTTAACTTCAAATGCTTTAGCTTGTTGGATAAATTGAAATCCCAAACAAATAAAGTTGAGTGCTATTTGTGCAAAAACAATGTTTCGTTCATGAGTTTTTGATAAGGTAAATGCGAATCTGCAAATCTGTTGCTAACTTTACAGTTGGATTCAAGGAACTTTTGCTGTTACAAGCAGTGGCGCCCCCAGAAAATTTTCTTAGGGGTGGCCAGAAGAGGCCGCACCAAATCTTGGGGTGGCACACAAAAAATAATGAATTCAGTGTAATGATATATTTTTGTTTCTGGTAAATGAACTAATGTAGTTTTTATTCATTTAATTAATTCTTCTTGAAATATTGCAATTTATTCCTTAAATTAATTCAGCAAGTACATGGTCAAACCAAAAAAAATCTATGTTTAGTTTAAAAACACTTTTCATATACTGTATAAATAACTTCTTTTTTACGTGCTTTTATTGTACATCATACGGTATATGCCATGTCTAAAATTAATTAAGATCAATGTGTTTATTATTCCCAGTGATGGGTTGCAGCTGGAAGGGCATCCACTGTGTAAAAATGTGCTAGATAAGTTGGCGGTTCATTCTGCTGTGGTGACCCTGGATAAATAAAGGGACTAAGCCGAAAAGAAAATGAATGAAAGAATAATGGGTTTATTAATTACCCAAACAAATGAACGAGCTGAACAAAAGGCATTACTATATATACACTCACTATACCTAATAATATTATTTATTCATATTGCTTTTTGAGCCATTTAATGCAGCTTCTTCTATTGATATACTGTAGCTTAAGGTAAATATTAAATAGCCATTGCTGTCTATTGAAGGTGTGTGTGTGCTGTCAACGACGATCAGAGAGGGTAGTGGTGGTTCTAGTTAAAATGACACCCTGGGCGAACCACCCTATACACCCCCACCTCTCTTGAATGGTTAGATTTGTTATTTAATAAATATAACAATTTATTTATATTTATTCTAAATAAATACAATTAATATTAATATACAATTATTATTCTAAATAAATAACAGAAATCAATCCTAAATATTTTTGGAAAACAACAACTGGAGTGATATGCCAAGATCACTTAAGAAACCTTTTGCATGAAAATTAATTATGACAATTCTAAAGAATACAAAAAATGTATTATAGAATATCTGTGGTCTTAGACCAGATCATGGCTGAGAAATCATGTTATGAAGTCTTACCTCCCTGACTCATTATCCCTCCTTTCTGCTTTAAAGGCATGCTTGGTGAAAGTAACATCATCATCATCATCATTTTGTATAAACTTTAGTCGACTTTCAAAACTCGCTGCGTGCCGACACCTCTGCGCAAAAGGCTGTTACTCCGGTTTCACGGCGCATGAGCGGTGCCTATTTTGTCGGCGGGCATGCAAACGCAAACAACCAACCGGGATTCACACAGGAGTGCGTGAGGCGCGCGGGAATGGTTTTCTCCGCGCATGCGTCAGTTTGCTTTCACCAGCATTGAACCAGAGGGGGAGAGCTACGTCAGTAACACCAACAATAATTTAGTGACTGCATTTTATTTATTTATTTAAATATTGGGAATTTATAAGTTCATTTAAATCAATAATGTCAACAGCAAAATTATATTGGGGTGGCCAAAGGGGTGGCCAGAGTTTACTGAGGGGTGGCCGTGGCCACCCCTGGCCACCCCTTGGGGGCGCCCCTGGTTACAAGAACTAAAATCACTTTATTTTCACAGTCACGTCACGTCAGAACCTGCGCTAACGTTACTCATCCACAGTGAAGTGAAACCGAAAGTGCAATGAAAGCTTTACTTACCGCATATAACTAATCCAAACATAACTGTTCTTAAAACATACTCCATATTGCTGTGAATTTCAGTCTTCTTGGTGTTTCTTTTTCCTTCTCCTCCTTCCTTCCTTCTCCTGCTTTTTCTTCTTATAATTTTACGGCGGTTGGCATCCAGCGTTTTGATGCATTACCGCCACCTTCAGCTCCGGAGTGTGGACCAGAGGTTAGGTTTACAGACTAATCATTCCCCCACTTCCCTCTTTCCCACCCCTTCTCATACACACACATACATACTTACATACACACCTCTCCCCTACTCCTATGTTACAATAATAACCATAATACTCTCATACTACTATTTACACTAATACCATAATAATAATAATAACCACCACATTGCTCTTACCCCTACTTTTACTTCCACTACTTGGTTATATTTAACTATATTCCCTTCACCTTATTATTTAAATGATTTATTTTATATCCTATCATAAACACCTGTTTCTCTCAGACACTTTATAAGTATTCTGGTCTGAATCCTGTCCTTTGTATTTAGTAAACCTTTTAATGTTATTTCCTGAATCCCTATTTGCCTTAGATCTTTTCTCATTTCCTCCCTCTGCTTTTCATGCCTTTTGCATTTTAGTATCACATGTTCAACTGACTCTTCTTCACTACATCCCTCACATAATCCAGTTTCATGTTTTCGTATCAATTTAAGTGTTTTATTTAATAAACAATGACCCAGTCTTAATCTTATCACTATTTCTTCTCGCCTATTACCTCTACTGACTCTTTTGTGTTTAACAGCCTTTTGAATTGCATACAAATGCCTTCCTTTCTTTTCTCTGTCCCACTTCTCTTGCCACTTTTGATTTATTCTTACCCATATTAGACTTTTCACTTCTGCTTTACTAACCCTTATTTGCATTTCTACATTTTCTTTTGTTAATGCCCTTTTTGCTAATTTATCAGCCATTTCATTTCCCTTTATCCCTACATGACCTGGAACCCATATAAATCTTACCTCCTTTCCCTGACTTGTTATTTTAGTTAAACACTGGAGTACTTCATACAAGATATCTTGTCTACTTGAAGAAAATGATCTTAAACTTTCAAGAGCTGATGCTGAGTCTGAACATACCAAAATTTTTGTCCTGCCCTGTCAATTGTACCCATCTTAATGCTACTAGCATGGCTAGCATCTCCACTGTGTACACCCCCACATTATCAGATGTCCTTCTATTTATTTCAATTTCTTTTGCTGGTATAATAACCCCCAATCCAGACATTCCAGTTTCTGGGTTCTTTGCTCCGTCTGTAAAAATCTGTGTGTACTCTTTGTATTTTTCTTCGACCCTTTGATTAAACTTTTTTTTCCAGATTTATGCTTTCTCTTGCCTCATTCTTTTTCTCTAAAATAGACCAGTCTACCTCTGGCCTAACTAGCCTCCATGGAGCAATTTCTGGATAAATGACAGTAGAACTTGTTCTCATATCAAACACTCTTAATTCTTTTGCCACCATGCTCCACACCGACCAAAATTCTCCTTGTGACTTCTCCCATTTTCCCAACTATCCTGTAATACTGCTTTAGTGATATGTGTATTTGTATGCCCTTGTAAACCTACCCAATAATTAGCCATCAACTGCTTCCTTCTTAATTCCAGTGGCAATTCTCCCATTTCCACTTGGATAGCTGACACTGGTGTTGTCTTAAAAGCTCCACTACATATTCTCAGTGTCTGCGCCTAATTTACTTCTAATTTATTCAAGTTTGACTTGGCTGCTGAACCATATACTACACTACCATAATCTAAAACTGACCTTATTAAAGCTACATAAATTCTATACAGTGATTGTGTGCTTGCACCCCAATCCCTTCCTCTCAAACATCTCATTACATTGATTACTTTTTTGCATTTTCCCTCCATTTTATGAATGTGGTCTACAAATGTTAAATGAGAGTCTAACTTAATTTCAAGAAATTTTAAATTCCCAACCCTCTCTACATCTTTTCCATACATCTGTATCTTAAGCTCCTCTGCAATTCTTCTCCTAGTGAAGAAAACCGACTGAGTTTTTTCAACAGAAAACTTAAACCCCCAATCATATCCCCACTCTACCACCCTATTAGTTGCTTCCTGTAACCTCTTGATTATATATTCCATATTCTTTCCTCTCTTCCACAAAGCGCCATCATCCGCAAATAGAGACCAACCTATATCTTGTGGTACCTTTGCAAACACATCATTGATCATTATAATAAAAAGTAATGGAATTATCACACTCCCTTGAGGCGTGCCATTTTCTGCTTTGTGTACATTTGACACATCCGTCCCTACTCTAACCTGAATCTTCCTTCAAGAAAGGAAATCTTTTATCCAGTTAAATAACTTCCCTCCAATTCCCAACTCATTTAGTTTAATCAATAGCCCCTCCTTCCACATCATATCATATGCTTTTGCTATATCAAAAAATACTGCTATTACATTCTCTTTATTTACTTGAGCCTTCCTTATTTCTGTTTCTAGTCTAATAACTGAATTAATTGTACTCCTTCCCTTCCTAAATCCACTTTGACATTTATCCAATAATCCTCGTATTTCCAGGTCATGCATCAACCTTTCTGTGATCATTCTGACGGAGAAATTGTAATCTTGTCTCCAATAGTGTGCAGTGCACATATATTTGTATGTCAAGGATTTGATCTTCTCTCCAATAGTGTGCAGTCAACATATATTTGTTAAAGTGTGCAGTGAATATGCAGTAAATATCTCCAATTGTGTACAAGTGTGCAAGTAAACATATTGTTTAACATATGCAATGAACATGTTATTCTGTATAATCATATTAATATGTGTACAAATAAGTGTGAAGTGAAGGTATAACAGTAAGAGCAAGCCTAGTAGTTAGCTGAGTACATGTAAACTTTAAACCAGCACCTAAAGGGCAAACAGCCAAGAATATACCTGAGTTCAAAAGGCACACAGCCAAAAATATAGCAGGTTCACAGCACAAGACCATATCTGTGGCAAAAGTCTGCAACACTACATATATAAAAGCAAGACAGGGACACAGAGAGGCAGAGGTTCATGGAGAGACATTTGTTTGTCTGTTAGCCTCTCGTTTTTATTGTCTGGCAATAAATCCATCTTTTGAAATCAAGACCCACTGACTCGATTGCTGATTGAAAGACAAGAAACAGAACACGACAATTCTCTCCATGATTTTACAAAGATTTGATGTAAGTGCTATTGGTCTATAACTTGTTGGTTTTGTTGGATCTTTACCGGGTTTCCTTATCGGAATTACTATTGCCTCTTTCCAGATTTTGGGTAGCTTTCCCTCCTTCCATATCTTATTATACATCTCCAAGAGCTTCAACATTGAACTTTCTTCCAACTTCTTAATCATTAAATAACATATTTGATCTTTTCCTGGGGATGTAGGTTTTGCTTTATTAATTGCTCTCACCATCTCTGCCAAAGTAAACGGATCATCTAATTCATTTCCTGTTTCTTCCTTCCTGTTAATCTTATGAAAATGCTGATTCTTTGTTACTGTTCTCCTCCTCCTCCCTTCTTCTGATAAATTTTCTGAACTATGTACCTTAACAAATGCTTCTGCTATAATCTCTGCTTTCTCCTTATTTGATGTTGCTATTTTTCCTTCATTTACTATTACTGGGTATTCCCACTGCCTTCTGTCTCCTCCCATCCTTTTTATCATTCCCCATACTTCTATTGGTGTAGTTCTTCCTATGTCCTCACAAAACTCCCTCCAACTTGTTCTCTTTGCTTGACGTACTGTTCTTCTGACTACTGCTTGAGTTTTTTTTTATACTGAATGAGGTGTTGCATATTATGTGTTCTTTTTAATAATCTAAAAGCTTTGTTTCTTTCTCTTATTGCATTCCAACATTCCTCTTTCCACCATGGCACAGTTTTCCGTTTTCTTTTGGTTTCCTTTTTTGAGATAGCTTCCTCTGCTGCCCTAATAATTGCTGTTGTAACTTGATTGTTTACTATATTTATATCTTCATGATCTTCGATCTTTATCATTAACTCACAACTGATTTTTGTAAACATTTCCCAGTCAGCTTTATTAAAATTCCATTTAGGGATTCTATACTCTAGCCCCACTTCCGATCTCTCACCTACTGAACTTATGATTGGGTAGTGATCACTTCCTACTGTAGATTCTGTCCACACCTCCCATTTACAACTTCCCGCCAAAGAACTAGATACTAATGTTAAATCTAAGACAGATTCAATTCCTGTTGCTACATTTATTCTAGTTCCTCTACCATCATTCAAACACACCAACTCTCTTTCATCTATCAGTTCTTCTATTATTTTACCGTTAGTATCTGTACGTGTCCTACCCCACATTGAACTGTGGGCATTAAAATCAGCACACCATATTACTTTATGACTATCCTGTCCCTCAATATTTATTAACTTTTCTATATCCAACTTCTTACATGGATTATAACAATTAATGATTCTAATTACCCCACATCTTTCCCATACCTCCACTACTATGTACTCCTGCTCCTCACCTATTCCCACTACTCTTTACTGAATCCCATTCTTAGTGAAAACTGCACATCCTCCTCCACCTCCCTCACTTTTTCTGTCTCTTCTGACTATTGAATATCCATGTACTACATAATATAAATTTGGTTTTAGCCATGTTTCTTGTATACACATCACATCTCAGGGCTCGAAATTAACCTTTTTGCTTGGTAGCACCGGTGCTCCTAACTTTAAACATTTAGGCGCATCAGCCAAAATTTAGCCGCACCCACCAATTATGAGCACCATTACTAAAAGTTTTATACAAACATATTTATTGTATTTGAAATCAACACTAATCAAACTAACCAGCAAAAAAAAATTATATATATATATATATATATATATATATATATATATATATATATATATATATATATATATATATATATATATATATATATATATATAAATGCAAGCGTGAGGAAAATATGTCTCAACGAAATCCCGTTATTACAAGAAAATAGATTTTTATAACATAACTGAGTGACCAAAGCATACACGGAGCGCTCACCTGCCCTGCACGCACTTAAATGAATCTGTTAACGGTATAACTGTGCTGTTCTCACAAGTGCTGTCT